TGAGAGGTGGGAAGCTGGTGAGATGGAATGAGCGAAGGTGGTCAGCAAACACATTCTTGTGTGCTTGTGGCAGAAGAGGATATATTTGCTTATGAGAGGGACAATGCATCTTGCTTCCTTCTTTCTCCATCACAGCTTAGATAAAAAGCTTTGCAAAAGATGAGATATGTGAAAGCACAACACAGACAGAACTCCTCAAAGTTTCTCAGCTCCAACTCAGTTGAGCAGTTGCTATTTGTCACCTTGTAATTTCCTGTGCTTTGCTGCTATAATTGTTTTGAAACTACCAGATTAATTATTTTTCTCCTGTGATTTTTTTTTTTTTTTTTTTTGCCTGTGTTTGAGTGTAAATCCTGATGGGTTTGGGTTGGGTGGGGAAGCTTTATGGCTCAGGTTTTGTGGAGTCACTTGAGATTACCTTTTGTCTAATGGACAGCAGTAATTGAGTAACTCTGGCTTTTGAGACATTGCTTTCCTTTAGAAAAACAAGAGATGGAACGAGAGCGCTACGTTTTTTGTTGCCACTTCTGTCCAAACAAGGATGTGGAAGTATTTTACCAGTTGCTTTTTGGTGGATGTTTTCAGCAAAAATCCAATTGCTGTTTGTTTGCTTCTTTCCGTAGATCTTCATTAATAAATCTGTAGAAGTAGAAGCATCAGCTGGGGCTCTGCACTTGGCCACCTATATAACACAATGTAGTTTTTTGTGGGGTCTTTTTTTCTCTGTTTAAATTGTAACCCTTCTTTCTGTCAGGAGCTGCCTGGACTCAGCCCAATCTCTTGACAGCCACATTTTTACCATCTGAATTCCAAAGAAAATACTGATCTTCTCACCACGTGAGCTGAGCCACGTTCAGTGGTCTAAGAGAAGGAAAAGAGCTGTTCACATATGGAGCAGCACTTCCAGACATCAACGTAGGCTTGCTGGAAGTTGCAGTGCCTTCCACTTGAACCCAGTTATGCAGCTCTGCGATGTGCTGCTGCCTTGCAGCACCTGTGCTTTCATCCCTTGGTACAAAACAACCTGTAACAGACCTGTGCATGTTTCCTTCTGGCAAGGGGAGCTGCTGAAGGGAGCACTCTGTGAGGCTGTCTGTGAAACCAAAGGGAAAATGTTGGTAGAAATGATATTGACACAGACTGTTGAAGGATGGAGCAGGTGTTTGGTTCAGTTCTGTGCAGTTGGTGTTAGTGCTGAAGTACTGGGTAGTATTAAAAGTAAATCGACACGTGGTTGTCCTGAATTTTTTTTTTTCTGGTTCTTTGGAGAGGAACACAAGTTCTTAATGTGGATTGAGACATTCATCCCTTTAGTCCTTCTACCAGTCCACAATGGCTTTCTCCAGAAGTTGAAGAGGTGTTACAGATAAAACACCTGCAGGGCCATATGAAGGTGCCTTCTGAAATGAATCTTTTCCTCTGTTGCCCACATAGCTGCATGTTGCACAATGCCCTTGACCCACAAGGAGTGGCTGGCTCATCCTGAGGCATGAATCACTTGGTGTGGCTGCGGATGTCAGGGAGGAGAAGGTCCAAGATCCCTTGGTGCAGAGGGAGAGGCTGGTAGGGGATCTGTCAGAAGGGCCAGAGGGTTTCATACCTTGTCTGAAGCAGGAAGGAGCTGTCTGGCTTTTTACCTTCGCAGGAACGATGAATCAATCAGGTGACAAATGCACTGAACAGCAGCCTAATGGGTAAAAACCTTGGGCTAGAACAGAGGTAACTAAAGTGGCTTCAACTTGCTGAATCTGTTTCACCTGGAGCATTTGAAATAGAAGGAAAAAGGCACCATACAGGAAGGAGGGAAGATGGCTTTGAAACCATGCCATTAAAGAAGCTTCCACTAAGATCCAAGTTGAGCCTAGCTTATAGAGTAGCCTCTAATTTAACTCCATTTGTCTGTTTTCTTACATCAGCTTTCTATACAGGTGCACATATGCCTACACTAAGAGCCTGAGAACTGGTGGAGTATGGAGACCCAAAGCTGCAAGTTGCCCTGGAACATAATGGGAAGGAAAGGAGGAGACTGTATGGGCAGAGAAAGCCTCCAGCTAGCAGATCTGGGCTCGCTGAGCAAAGCTGGAGGGGGAAGGGGAGTGTACTTACCTTGGAGGCTGCTTTGGAATGTAAAGCAAAACATGCCAAAATGCTGTGTTCCAGGATTCCTGTGCTGCTGCTGTGACCTGCTCTGTTAGCCCTGATGCTCAGTGCCATACAGCATTGAGCAAATGCACAGGATTCTGGAAACATCACTGTTAATGCGAGATAGTGGCAGAGAGGGCTTTGTCTTAGAGGGTGTAATGGGGTAGAAACTGGAGGATGGAGATGGAACTTCTCCTTGTGTCTTATGTTTCAAGTTCTGTGACAACTCAAACCCTCGTGACCTGAGAGGCTGCTGATCTTACTGCCTGCTAACAGTTACAGTGGCAGAACATCTTGGAATGTGATCCCTATTGTATTATAACAAACAGTAAAGGATGTGGATTTAATCATGTAGCAACACTTGCTTTGACCTCTGTCTGATAGTGCTTCAAATGTGAGCTTCCATACTTGATGCAGACACAGTCAATAAGTACATGAAGATGCCTTATTTGGTCTAAAGGAAGGCAGCAAATAAAGCAAACGTTTCCCCCAGTAAACATCTTAGATAACTTGATTGCAGAAATGGAGTCACTTTACATATCATCAGGAATTCTCTGGATAATTGTGGAGCTGTATGATGTTTCTAGAGCCAATGAACTTCATTCGTGCTGTAGAACAGACTTGATCTTAAAAGATTTGATGCAGGATCACTGTGGTCAGTGCAGAACTGTATACCTAATGGTTCACTTGGCTCATGACAATCATTTTCCAGAGGATAAACTCCCTGCAGCAGGTTATATTAACCAGGTGAGCTCAGACTAGATCTTTAGCCTGGAAAGGTCACGTAACTGTCAGCACAAAAACATCCCTGTGTAGTTTTAAGTTGGTTATTAACCCACGTAGTACAGCAGAAATAAGAACAGCAATAACATTCTTTTATATTCATAGGTTAATCCTGTGTTGCTTAAATAGCAGTGTAGCTGCAGTTGGCCCTGGTTTGCACAGGTTACATATTTGCTCCTCGCTGGGCTGTGCCACAGCACGGTGATACCCTGCACTACATCCATCCCACCAGTCCTTTCCAATTCTAATCCTCAAGTACGTATTCCAGTCATATTTGTTGCCTATCAACTGTGAGCACAATTAAGGGTGTCCTGAAATTCTCTTAAATAAGTGTATTGAGGTACACTTATTTTCTTAAACTGTCAGGAAAACCTCTGAACCATGTGCATGCTTCAGTCTCCATGCTGTTGGATAGCTTGCTGAGATCTGGCATGCAGATGGGCTCTTCCTGTGGTGCTCAGCACACAGCGTGGTGGCACTGAGGACATTTCAGAACATTACAGGAGAGTGCTCTGAAGGCTTGAAATGGAGCAAGTCTCTGCTCCAGGGATAAGAGATAGGAAGCAGAAAGTTGGGAATTGACGTTACTGATGAGCCTAGGCATTTATGTAACTGGGGGCTGAGTGAAGATTGAAGGGTTGAGGATCATAAAGGGAATGTTAATTCTGTATTTTAATGGCTAGCACAAATATCTACAGCTCTATTTAAAACTCGATAGTTCTAAAAATGTTGGCTGCAAACAAATACAAGTCCAAGAGGGGTTTTGTAAAACAGCCAAATCCTAGGCTGTAGTGGTTTTAAGTGACAGGGAACAACAACAAAAACCATTAAAATGGAAAAGATAATAGCTTCAAGTCATGATGGCTTTGTGTGGAGGAAAATCAAGCTCCGTCCTGGTGATAGGATGCTTTGGCTGTGGGGAATGGGAGCTGTGGGGCTGATGGAGCAGGCTGTCTGATGGAATGTTACGGGACTTGGTTGTGCCCCTGTTCTGCTGTGCAGCTTGTGTTAGCAGGAATGAGAAGGATGTATGTGATAAATGCACCAAGGTGGTATAACGTACAAATAGTCTTGAAAATGTGTAAAAACATTGAGAATCACAGAGTCATTAAGGTTGGAAAAGACCACTATCATAGGGTCCTACTGTCAGCCCATCACCACCATGCCCACAAAGTGCAGCTCCCCAGAATCCAAACGTCAGAGCTCTGGGTTTTGCTTGTTTGAGCTGCTCTGTGAGCATCCCTCCAAGCACCTGTTGTGTGCTGCTCAAATTCCAGTGGCTTTCTTTTAGTATAATTGCCTTTGAGTTTATAAGCCAGTGCAAACTGGTGTTTTATAGACAAAATTCTGTGTATCCCCATGGGTGTAGTCAAAAGGTGGGAGAAACTGCAGGAGAAATAGGAAGTCAATAAATAGTCATCCTGAAGTTTAGTATGGTGGGATTTCTGAACTATGTGGGAAATGAGAGTGGGATTTGGACTGCCTGATGCGTCAGACTGTGTCCTCGAAGGCTGCATATCACCAGCAGAGATGGAGGCAGTGGTCTGCTCTTAGTCAGCCCTTTCCCTGTGAGATACCCGTAGGAGGAAAGGACACATAAGGATCACTGAGCCCAAGATCTTGGGTTTGCTTACAGCTTACCTAAATAGCAATCATCGAAGTTGATGTTTCCCATCAGCCTGCAGCCAAGGAGGAGTTGTGATGTGAGGACAAAGCACCAAACACCTCTCAGAAGCACATCCCAAAGAGGTGGAGGTTTTTTGCAGGCCGTAGACTTGGTGTGCTTGTGTAAAGTTCTTACTATGCTGATGGGTGCCACGATAAGGCCAGGAAGAAACATAGAACTTTGCATTTAGCCTCTTGTCCAGGGATGGTTGGGATGGAGTCTTTCCATTCTGGAAAACTACGAGGAGCAGCTGCCAGCTGGGCACAAATCCCCTTCCCCACCCACCAAGCATGGCAAGGTGCTCCTGTGGCTGATGGCCATGGGGCACACACTGAGTAAAGGAGTAATCCCTTTTGCATGCATGTAGGAACATCTTCCTCATTCCTCTTATCTCTTTGCTTTCTTACAGTGAGTGTTGAAAAAGTGGAACTAAAGGGACTGGCACACAAGAAGAACGAAAGAAACGTTGAATATTCTTTTGAGGTAAGTAGTGGTGCTGGGGTGGCTTTTTCCTTTGAAAGAAGGGAGGATAATACTTGAGAAGGAGTTAAAGAAATGTGCTGGCATTGTTAGGTCCCAGGAATTGGTCTCACGGAGCTCCTTGGGGATAGATGTTAGTCGTTTTTTAAAATCAATGATTTGTAAATAAGCCTAAATTGCTGTTGATTAATGTATGTAGATGATGCAGAGATTGTCTGCTAAGTGGGACGCAGGCAAAAAGATGTCATTCTAGCACAGCCAGTCGTGGCAAAGCGGGTGTTCATGGGGAAAAGAATCATGCCACAATTACAGGAAATTGTATCTATGAATGGAATGCAGAAGTTAAAAAGAATTTGAGGTTTAATGTGGACAAATGTGAATTTGGACTCTTAGGGCAGTGCTGTGTATGGGAAAAGATCAGAATGGTCATTTATTGCTCTATTTGTGGTCCTTTACGTCTGTACTCAGCAGTGAGGGAGTGTGAGACTGTGGCATATGGTTCTGGCGTTGCTGGTTTTAAAAGGGAGCTGAAGAGTACAGAAAATAGCTGTGGAAATTACTCAAGGCTTGAGGAAAATGCCATGCAGTGGGAGACTTAAAGTGCTCTGCTGCAAGATGACTCCAGCATCCTCAGAAAATGTTTTCCAAGGGAAGAAAATATTTGTTGGTGAAGGAGTCGCTAGTATGGCAGGAAAAAAAAAAAGCATAACAGGAACCGTTGACTGCAGATTGAAGCCAGACAGAGTGGAAATGAGAACAGTTCTGCTGGCAGGAGGGTGGTTAGCCACAGGCTGCTGGGGGGAGGCTGCCCCAGTTGGATGCCCAGTTTGGAGGCTCAGTGCTCACTGTGCTGCCGACGTGGGATTTTGTTCAGCGTGAGCAGCAGGGATGGATGCTGGAGCCGGTGAGAGGAATGACAGAGTGCCTTTCTCCCATCCAGTTCTGATGGTGTATTCCAACCCTCAGAATGCAGAGCCCAGAAAATGTCTTTGGTTTACTTAATGAGGCAGCGAAGCCAAAGAGTTGGTGAGAAAAGGAAACCCTGAAAAAGAACGGACAGGAGAATTTCAATTATCTACCACTTGTACTAAAGAAGAAAAGGTTTTCTTTATAACTGCCACCCAAGAGTGAGCACCAACGTCTTGTGATGTAGGCAGCATTAACCTCTGCGTGTCATCCAGGCTGGATGTGGCTCTGGGCAGCCTGGTCTGGTGGCTGGTGACCCTGCACACAGCTGGGGGGTTCACAATGATCACTGTGATCCTTTTCAACCCAGGCCATTCCATGATTCTATATCTTGGTTCTAAATATCATCAATATGAGAAAAGTTATGGATGTTTTCTTAAATCCTTATGAGCTATGCCGTCGTCTGAACTGCAGTTTACTTATGAGCCTCTTGTGAAGCATCTTTTTCTAGTATAAATTCTTCCATAAATACAACAAAATTACTTTTATCGGTGAAAACATTTCACTTCACAGCTTATAACTAAAAGGAACAACCCATCGGTGGGCTGAGCTCATAAATTGCTGCTTGCTTGGTTAGAAACCTCACAGTTAAATGTTTAGTTTGGCAGCTTGGAAAGAGCAGATCAATAGATAGAACAGTTTTCAGCGTGGCATTGCTGTTTTCCCCAGATTTATGGTTCATGTTATTGTTTTATAAGTACTGAGGATGATGATATGTTAGCAAAGCATATGCCATAACAAATGTCAGGTCACTGCAAATCTAGAAAGAAAGAGAAGGCTGAAACTTCTCACGAATCCCCCAAAAGGTGATCATTTATTACAGAATTTCAAAAGGGAAGGAAGAAAGAAAAGGTTTTGTAAGACCAAAAACTGTGTAAGTTTTCTTTCTTCTTTTTTTTTCCTCCTCCCCCCTTACTTGTCTGTGTAACAGCTCTACTGAGAGGAAATTCCTCCATTATGTCATCTGTTTTGAAATCCTCTCCCCTCACTTTGGCTGCCTTCGGATGGCTGGAAAAAACTGTGTGTATGTTTTCAGTTGTCATTGAAACTGGTGTCATGTGAGAGGATGGCTTCCTGGTTGGAAACCCCACAAACCCAACTTCTTCCCTGCTGAAGGTTCCCCCAGTGCCAGGCACGTTGAGTAGAAGGGACCTGCCATTTGCTAACACTGCTAGCCAACATCTGAGCCTCTCTGAGCCAAAACCCCCCCAACTTTTGGCTCGGTTTAACTGATCATCCACCATCCCATAAATACCTCTGTATGTGAAAATGTAATGACTTAATGCAGAAGGCGTACAGGCAGAGATGGTGAGCTGTTCCCTTTTCTAGAGCATGTATAAGATGCTGGGGTCTAGGGGATAGCAGCAACCTCAACTACACTTCTAACATGGCAGTTTTTGGGTTTGGGGCAGTTGGAGTGGTTCACTGCCATCTCTGCATGGCATGTGGAGCTGATTAATTATAAACAGGCACTCGTGGGCTGTGATGAGTTGTTGGTATTGTACATCAGGCTCTACAAACCAGCTGTTTTCTTTAACAATAACGAGGAAAAAAAAGTTTCCATTTGTTAGCAGTCTGTCTCTCTGTCTGCAGCGTGCCGTGGCTGTGTAAACCATGAAGTGCTTTTTTAAGAATGCAGAGTGCTTGTTAAGTACAATAACAGCCAGAGCGGGGCTGCAGGGAGGACTGACTAAGAGTTATTTGGGCACAGAAAGTTTTTCCTTCTTGATGTCACGCATTGCAGTGTTTCTTGCAATCCATGGGAGTCATTCGATACCTGTGAGTGAGTTTTTGAAACCAGAGTTAAACAACTGGCTGCTCCTTACTGAACTGGGTGCCTTTTATTTCTGCAGGTCCTGTGGTCTGATTCTTCAGTGACATTGGTAACTAAATCTTCCGTGGAAGTGACTGAATTTATTTCAAAGGTAAAGGCATCCTTTGAAAAGGGTGAGATGTGTTGTCCATTCACGTAATATCATTCAGTGACCTTTCTGAGATGAGAGAGAGACTGAATTCCTTCAAATGTTCAACTTATAGTTCACCATGCCTTGAATTACGTATGAGTAACGAGTCTTCTTTTCAATTCCTGTTTGTAATCCTCCACCTCCAGCTGTCTCAGCTGTATCCAGAAGAAAACTTGGAGAAATTCATTCCTTGCCTAGCTGGTCCAGATTCATTTTACCTAGAACGGAACCACATGGACCTGGAATCGGACCTTAGGTATGCTGCTTTGCTCTGCTTAGTTCCTTAACTTTAGCATCTGTTAAACTCTATTTTCCCTAAGTTGAGACTGAAATCTACCACTAACAGAGCCACGGTGGATATTTTTCCATAGCCAGAGCCAGCAGGTGCATGCCTAGATTATTTTTCATGGCAAACAGCATTAACATTTCGAGCAGTCCTCTCTGTGCTTCGGGAATCGCAGCGTAACGACAGGAATTCGGCAGGGTAAGAGAGAAAGCATGTTCCTGCTGCTGCTGCTGCTGTTTAGCTAGCAACAGTCTCCACAAATCTAGGTTAATAGAGCAGCAATTTGTGTTCACACAGCAACAGCTGTATCTATGGGAGAGGAAAATAACTGTTATTCTGTGTGCTACGTATTTGACAAATGCAGAATCGAATTGGGGGTTTTCAGGGCAGAAAACACATCTGTGTGTAGCTGCACTTATCTACTACTCACAGACTTGAAAAATGACCATTACCAAAGATACGATCAAAATGATCTCTGTTTTGATGACTTTTTATACATCTTCAAATCTACAAAAGATTTGGTTTGACGAAACACAGTTAAGCTTGTGTGACAGTGGAGAGTCTGGTGCTGCTGGCTGAAGACACTGCAGTTACAGAGTTTTAGGAGACTGCTTTATTTTCTCCCCAGAAGTCCGATGTAGTCCTGAGTTCTCCATCTTTGACTGAAACGTTTAACAGAGTGAAAAAAAAATACAAGGCAGTAACATGAGGTTAAGAAGTTTTAAGGTTAAGATTAAACGTGTTTCAGGTCTCCTTTGACTGAGAATTTCATGGTGTTGTTAATTTGAAAGGGTGTTTATGTTTCTTAGTATCACTTTCAAGATGTCATGTAGGGTTTACCATCACAATCGGACAGACAGCTGTAACTTAGTGACAATCAAATAGGACTTCTGTTTGTTTCTGTTGAACCTGCAGGTATTTGGCACCATTGCCTTCCCATGTGGTGAAAAATGACCACGTTAGAAAGTTCTTCAGCACTTCATCCCCTTCACAGCAACTTCAGAGTTCAAGTAAGTTTAAAAGAAGTTTTAAATTACTTACTTAATTTGTAACCAATATGCATTTTTTAACCCAATACTATTTCCAACTTCCATTCCTTGTTTTCAGATCCTGGCAACTCCTCCCTTTATAAAGTAGGAACTACTCTGGGAACATCTGGAAGGTGAAGTATTTATTTTGTTTGCATCTGTTTTGGTTGTAAAATCCCATTCTGTAGGCAGCTGTCTGTCTTCCCTGGGAGATTTGAATCTATATTTTCATATTCAATTGTAAGGAAGAGAAAAATGCAAGGAGTTCTATCTTTAGTGTGTGGTCTGCCCAAAACAGATAGTGTCAGTAAGGTACTAGCATTTCTAGTGCTGTCGTCTGTTCATTTCTGAAGTGCTTCTAGAAAACACGTCTCTGCAGCATGCTTAAATGTTTCCTTGTACTGCAGTTTTCCTTCCAGTGGGAGGAAGGAAAAAAGTGACCTCTTTCAGTCAGCCTTGGAAAAAGAAGGGAGGAGATACTCTTGCCTTTTGTTAGGATTTAAACTCAGAGCCCTAACCTTTCTCTTAAGAGGCAGTTTTCATTTTCTCTCAGAACTCTTCAAGGAGCCAATGTTGTGGGTTATTTTACCACTTCCACCTGTACAAAAACCATCAGTTCCACAAATTACACTGGGGCAATTTTTAATAATGCAAAACTGAACCATGGCCATTTTCACTTAGGCTTTTTTTTTTTTTTTTGAAGTATGTTTTGTCACAGAGAGGTTGTAGAACATATATCGTCTATGACTATGGAAGGAAATCAGGGGGAAGTTCTTTACTATGAGTGTGGTGAGGTGCTGGAAAGCTGCCCAGAGAAGTTGTGGATGCTCCATCCCTGGAGGTGTTCAAGGCCAGGTTGGATGGGGCCCTGGGCAGCCTGGTCTAGTATTAGATATAGAGGTTAGTGGCTCTGCCTGAGGCAGGGAGGTTGGAGATTCATGATCCTTGAGGTCCCTTCCAACCCAAGCCATTGTATGATTCTATTCTACGATTCTATGAAATCTCTTCTTAAGTTACAGTTTATTTGCCCTAAGCTGTACTGTTGAACAGCACAGTGAAACAGCACAGATACAGACATCTAAGCTGGGTCAAACAGTGCAGGTTCCCCCAGCAATCCCACAGGTGACAGACTGACATCACTGCAGTGGCAGAACTCGACATAGATTCGCTGTGCTAACTCAACCCTTGTTCTATTTTGCAGGCCTATATGTGGAGTGGCAGGCATTCAGTCTTCTCAGAACCACGTCCAGCACTCAGCTGCTGCTCCTGTAGCGCTGCCCCACTGCTCCCATGCAGGAGGCACCGGTTCATCCCTGGCCTACCGCAACCAGATGGATGCTGCATCACCCATGTTGATGTCTTCCAGCCCACAGACCCCTCAAACACAGGAGCAAAATGGGATCTTAGACTGGCTCAGGAAACTGCGGTTGCACAAATACTATCCTGTCTTCAAGCAGCTCACCATGGAGAAGGTAGGGCAGCGTGCTGAGTTGGGAATGGAGTCTGCAGAGGGAGGAGTTGCACGCATCTGCGTTTAGAATTGTGGCAGTCACTGGTTCAGCAGTCATATTTTGATGAAATCCTCCTTAGAATCATAGAATGGTTTGGGTTGGTAGGGACCTTTAAGATCCTTTGGTTCCAACCCCCCTGCTGCAGGCAGGGACACTGCCCACTAGGCCAGGTTGCTTACAGCCCCATCCAGCCTTCTTATTTTCAATTGCCTTGTGCCCAGGCCAGGGCTTTGAGGCAGCTGCTGCTTCAGATTCCTTACTGAATTCTTGGAGATCCGATTGCATGCTGACTTGAGAGCTGTGCTTTGGGCCCCTGCTCATCCCTTTCATGCTCAGTAACTCACATCTGTGGGATATATATATTTTTTTGTTTCTGCTTTGTGATTGATTTTTCTCCCCAAAATATTTGGTTATCCCTTTTTGTCAGAGTAGATTCACAGAGACTTTTTCCAATCCGTGTGCAGACAAATAATACTGACGCATGCGGCGTTTTAACTGAATAGATGTCAGCACTTCCACAGCATTTCTCCAGCTCCATCTGTAGAGCTGTTAAATGAAATCCATGTCCTGTTGCTGTATTTTAGCTTCGAACGCCCTCTGGTGGACGAAGGGCTTTGGTTGAGTCAGGTCTAAAGCAGGAGAGTTTTGTGGTAGTTATACATGGGACACATGTTTAGCTGTTAGCAGTCTTCTGGTTTGATGTTCGTTGTCAGGAGAGGAAAATAGAATGGATTTTTCCTTTAATAAAGAAACAAAACTGTGCATATTCTGATGTGTTGGTATTTTCCCATTTTAAAAATAGGCATGTGAAACTATACGTGCTTTATGGGCTTTAATTTTAACTATGTAAACTATAATAATATTTAAGAAACGATATAAATATTTTACTATTGTGTTTATATTCTATATATTTCACTAGACAATTTAATGGCAGAGTGTGTTTTCAAGCCAACTGCTGGGATGACTGCTTGTTGATTTCTGCATTAAATGGCATAACCAGGAAAACTGGAGTGGTTTTCTTTACAAGAACCCGATCCTGAAACTCATTTATAGCACAGAGTTCTATTTTCATAACTACAGAGATCACTTTGTCTTTATTGTGAATAGTTAATACAAGCACACACCTAGTTAAATTTAATCTACAGCAGTTCTTTCATTCAAGGCCCCCACACTTCTGTTTGACACTGATTCTATAATAAGATCAGATTTGAATTTCTCTGAATTAACATATGTTAAAAAACAACTTTAAAGTTACCTTTGAGAACGCATCTTGACTGAAAATGTAAATGAGAGCATTGAAAGCTGTAAAACTCCCCCTGTGTTTTCTCTTTACAAGTTCCTGAGCCTAACGGAGGAAGATCTGAATAAGTTTGAATCCCTCACCATGGGAGCAAAGAAGAAACTCAAGACCCAACTGGAACTGGAGAAGTAAGTGGAGGGGAAGGCTCTTATTAAGGTTTTAAGGAACTTAATGCAAGCTCATAGAATCGTAGAATGGCCTGAGTTGAAAAGGACCACAATGATCATCTAGTTTCAACCCCCCTGCTATGCGTAGGGTTGCCAACCACCAGACCAGGCTGCCCAGAGCCACATCCAGCCTGGCCTTGTTTGTTCTTTCAGACAGTAAGCCTACCAGATTCCCACCTGTAGATAAGGATAACACTCACCTCTCTCATTCTCCAGCAATGTCAGTTGCTTGGGAAAGCTTCTGAAGATGCAGAGCATTCTGTGCATACTGCTTTACTGCTGCCTGCTCAGGGTTGTATGAGGATAACCACATGCAAAGGGTCTGTGAGCAACCCAGTCCCAGCATAAATGCGCCATGACAGCTCTTCTGAGGAGGAGGACACTTCTGGAGTAATTTACAAAAGACACATACTAATGCATGGGATTTTTTTTAATTTGTATAACAGATACAGCAAAGCAGGTGTACAAAGTACATTTTATATTTAGGCGAGTTCCATTTGAACTGTGCCTTAGACAATCTTAGAACCATTTCAGTGGAAGGTGGAGGATTGTGCATAGCCTCAGCTGAACTCAGCATTACTGATCAAGCAGACACCCTCTCACCTGCAGGGATATCATAGAATCGTAGAGCAGTGGTATTTCTGTTCTGCTTCTTTCCCTTCCCTTCTGTTTCTCTGCCTGATTGTTTGCTTTCTCTGCCGTATCTTGCTGTCTGAGTAATTAACCAGCCTTTGTGCCCATGAAACTTGCTCTTGTTTTGTCAGATTGAGTAATTTGTGTGTAAATAATTCTTAGTGCTGCAGCCATGATGGTACATACAAAGGCTGTGTGTGGGAGAGAGGCACTTCTATTGGGCTGCTGATATTAGTGAGGAAAACAGACAAGCTTACTGGGTACATAAACCTTCCTTCAATGCTTTTTGGGTTTGTTCTTAATAAGTAGCTTCTGACATCATGAAGTGTCCTCATTTAGTTTTTGGACTTAGCACCTTAGATTTCATTTGGCTTTGCTTTGATGTTGGTGTGCATGGCTGTGTTTGGGCTGTGCCTACAGAGGGTGTGATAGAATGTAGTCACCATTTTATCCTGTTTTTTCCTCAAATAAATGCAATCCTGATGGCAGAAGGGACGAAGTAAGTGCTGGTGAGAAGCTGAGGTCAGGGCTGATTCATTGCCAAATGTTTCCCTTTGCAAGAGGCTAACTTTCTCAGATTATAGCGAGTTTTGTCTGCTTCAGTTTCATTCAGAAATTGATTTATCTGTTGATGTGCTTTAGCCAGTTTTTGTGTCTTCACATGTTTCTCCATCATCCCATAGAGAAAAATCAGAAAAACGGTGCCTCAACCCCACAACACCTTCTTCAGTTACCAGCAGTGGTGTGGCAAGGGTTCCCCCTACTACACATGTGGGGCCTCTCCAGAGTATTCGTGGCAACCATGCTGCAGGTAAGAAAGAGGAGCAGAGGCCAGTGCTGTGCTCTGTCCATTCTTTCACTGCTTTTCCACCAATCTGTCATGAACTTCATCTTCCAAAATGCCATCAGCTTAACAGGAAGCAATCAGTCTGATTCCTGTGTATATGGAGTGTAGTAGAAAATGTTTGCCTCTTTGTAGCTTCCATGGCTAACTGCTCTAGTCAGTAACTGCTGTGCCCCCAGAGTGCTGCTGCTTAGTCAGTGCCTGTCTCTGTAAAGCTCTGTATTGCATTGCTGTAAGTCAACTGGTTTTGGAAGCTGTAAGAGCTGGTGTCAATGAGGTGCTACCATTGCTGTCATCTGCAGAGCTGCGGGTGGACGTAGATCAGCCAGCCCACCCTCTGCCCCGGGAGGGCAGCTCCTCCGAGTACTCCAGCTCTTCTTCCAGCCCCATGGGGATCCAGACGAGGGAGGAGAGCTCAGACAGCGCCGAGGAGAATGAGAGACGTAAGCAGACACAGCCAGGGAGGGGACGGGTGTGGAGCTGCTCTGTCTTACGAAGCTGTTGTGCTTATGGATATTTCTGTCCCTAGGTTTGGAGATTCACTTAGACGGTTCTGAAAAGGAGAAGCCGGTGATGTTACTGAACCATTTCACTTCGAGCTCTGCCAGACCCACTGCTCAGGTGTTGCCAGTGCAAAATGATGCAGGCTCCAATCCGTCCGGCCACCATACTTTGCCAATGCAAATGATGTCAGCGGCCTCTACTCATATCACCCCCATTCGGATGCTAAATTCAGTGCATAAATCAGAGCGTGGCAATGCAGACATGAAGCTACTTTCGTCGTCTATGCATTCACTTTTATCTTTAGAAGAAAGAAATAAAGTCTCTCCTGGACCTAGAGGCAGCATAAAAATGGAAAAGAGTTTTGGGAATACAGTAGTGGATGTCATGTCTGCGCCTTCTCCCCATCAGCCCTTGCAAGTGCTTTCGGGGGCTGCCGAGAACAGCTCGCCCACATCTACTATTAACTTTGGGCCTCGAACCAAAGTCGTCCACGCTTCAACTCTGGACAGAGTGATGAAAACAGCTCAGCAGCCAGGACTGATAGTAGAGACGAGTACTGCTGCCACTGTCACATCCAGCACGGTCTTCCACGTGGCTCGCCCACCCATCAAGCTCCTGGTATCATCCTCTGTTCCTACTGATCCTGCCATTGCTGGACAGACTTCCTGCTCCAGTAATATGCAAATAACGGTATCCCCTGCAATAATAAATCCCCGGACTGCTCTGTATACAGCCAACACCAAAGTTGCCTTTTCTGCAATGAGCAGCGTGCCTGTGGCACCCATGCAAGGCAGCTTCTGCGCAAACAGCAACGCGGCCTCATCCAGCAGCCACCCTTCCACGTCCTTTGCAACCATGGCCAACCTGCCCAGCTGCCCCGCGCCCAGCTCCAGCCCCACGCTCTCATCCGTCGCCGAGAACAACTTCTACAGCAACAGCAGCAGCAGCAGCAGTAGCAGCAGTAGCAGCAGCAGCGGGTCTGCGGGGAGCATCCCTGTGCCCAATCAGAACCACCATCACCACCACCACCAGCAGCAGCAGCCGCAGCCTCCCGGCTGCATGGTGTGCAGCTCCTGCGGGTGCAGCGGGAACTGCGGCTCCAGCGGGATGACCGTCAGCTACGCCAACTATTTCCAGCACCCGTTTTCAGGACCTTCAATGTTTACTTTCCCATTTCTGCCCTTCAACCCCCTGTGCAGTAACGGCTACATCAACACGCAGCAGTACAACAGCAGCACCACTTTCCCCGTGGTCCACACGGCCTACAACAGCGGCATCGCTCCGGACTCTGTGATGACGGGGCAGTCGACGTTTGCGGTACCGCCGATGCAGAACTTTATGGCAGGGACAGCAGGGGTTTATCAGGCACAGGGAATGATGGGAAACGGCAATGGTTCGAGTCACAAAAAAAATGGGAATCTCTCCTGTTACAACTGTGGGGCCAGTGGGCACAGAGCTCAGGACTGCAAACAGCCTCCAATGGATTTCAATCGACAAGGTAACGGCGGGCGCGGGGCCCAGCTCAGCACAGAGCTCTGGGCTGGGCTAAGAGGAGTCCCACAAAGAGGGAAGGTGTTGGTTTTGAGCTCTGTGTGAAGTGGTGAAACACACGAATGGGGAGGGAGGTTCTGTTGGCAGATTGCAGCAGGAACGTGGCTGCTTATCCCTGTAATCCTGGCTATAGGTTCCCCTGGAAGTCTGAGTTCTAAATCTGCTGCCTCCTTCCCTTCTTCCCAAACCAGTTACATAAATGGAGGATTACTGTTCAAATCCTCTTGAAGGTCCCACGTTGGAGTTTGCTGCTTTGCTCATTCTGTAGGACACATTGCTTACATGGTACAGCTCTGGGAGAGGGCTGAAATCCTTAATTCTGGGCAGGAAACAACTAAGAGAAATGTCACTTAACCAAGAACAATCTGCCGTCCCATTTTGCTTTGTTTTTTTTTTTTAATCAGCTTGTTGTTTTGAAATCATCTGCATGTGACATGAGCTTAAAAATTTGATAAGGATTTATGATTGGAGCAAGCAGCATTGAAATGCTGTGTTTTATATCCTGTCTTGCCTATAGCATGTGCCTGCATTTGTTTTCATACAGCGCAGGTGAGACCTCGAATATTTGCTAATTAACAAGTGACTGATTTTGAGGCAGCAATTTTCAGCAGTGCTGAGATGTAAATGAGTGGGGTTCCTGCATTTCATCTTTTGGTAGTGGCTGATGGGACAGAAGTGGCGCTGGCTCCAGCAGTGCTCATTCAGAAGTGTGGTCTGCTGCCTTTCAAAGCTGAATTTCGTTAACCAGATATGCACTGAAACTCTCCCAATCTAATCTGCCAGCCCTAAAGCTACATCTGAGGCAGTGAGTCAGACTGTGTGAAGCCGTGCTTTGGTTTGGGTCTCTGTCAGCCATAGGCACGTGCTTGTTAGGCTTTTTTGCAGCTGGAGTGCAGTGCAGTGGGCTGTGTTAGGCTGCAGTGCAGTGTTAGATGGCCCAGGAGAAGTGGTTTGGGAAAGTTCTGAGGTGTAAGCACTGTGAAAAGCTTTGTGTTGTCTAATTCTTCTGTTTCCTTTCCCCCAGGTACTTTTAGGCTGAAATACGCTCCTCCCTCCGAAAGCCTTGACTCCACAGACTGATCTTTTACCTGGCAAGAAAAATACTGTAAGCCATGGAGATAGAAGGAGACTGAACTACAAAACTGAGACGTCCAGTTGCTGTTAAGCTTAATGTATTTTTTAATCCAAAGGTGCTTTACTTTATTAGACTAGGTAGGAAATCTAGCTTAGGGGTGCATCGAACCCATTTTTGATTGCCAAATTCAAGCTTGGATCTTGCTGTTGGAACTTCTGACCCCGTGTCATAGGACGATGCGTGCTGGATGGATGGTGGAGCTGGCCAGATGCATTTTCTGTTGCAAGTACAACACCCTACGTACTATTTTTGCTGGAGAATGTTGCCATACGTGGACTTTTGAAGGTAAAGGTCTGACTCCAGGGCAGCTACACGGTGAGGTGGAAGCTGGAGGCGGAGGTGGGAGCGGCCGTTTGCCAGAAGGACTTTGGCACCCCTGGGCTAGGTAAAATGTCTACTTTTTTTCAAAAGTGATCAGGCACTAATCTCTGGGATTTTTAAGGATTGCACTACAGAAGAATGTAAAACTCTTCGAGCTTTCTGCACTTCTAGCAGACGGTGTCACTCTGAGACCAGTGCAAGAGGCAAAGAAGTTGCGACCTTTACCAATTGGCACCAGCAGGCTACGTGACTTAACGACACAATAACAATCTTAAGTCAGTCTCTCCTTTCCCTTCCAAAAGAACACATGCAGCAGTTTCGGTTCCTTCTGGAAACAAACTTGTGCTTCATTGTCTTACCTGTTAGCGCTGGCTTCCCAGCGATGGAATATGCTTAGTTTCCAAGGGTCCAAGTCCCAGAGACTGCAGAGTCATAAAGGCTTCGAGGATATGTTCCTGTAGTACACAAAACAACCTTTACGTCCTGTTACTGTACATAGGTCTCTTTCACAGAAACCTTATTATTCTGCTTTTGTAAATGAATTTTAAACCATCCTAAAGAAGAACTCTGGCAGCAGAGTTTGTAAGCTTTTGCTTTACTTTATATTAAAAAACAAACAAACAAACCCCAACCACCCAACCCTCTGACTCCTACCCCATGGCTTTTGCTACAGGATTCAGAAGTGGTAGAAGTCAAAACATGTAAGAGGTAGTAAACTTCATTATTCTCAAGACTTGGAAGGATTTACTGTCAGCCTCCTTCGTTGCAATAGATTGTAGATGACTAGCTTTGGTGTTAACTACTTAGCGTACATAATTTGTGGGTGATAAATCTAAATTAGGGCTTGAGAGGAAGCCGAACAAATCCTGAACTGCTCATTTGAAACAGTTTGGTCCTGTCTCACTGAAGGGAGGTACAAACCTCGTGGCTCACCCCAGGAATTCGGCACTGTTCAGTGGGTGATGCTTCTGACAGAGATGTTTGCACACTGTAATTTGGAAGATCTTAAAGCCTTGTTTACACTTGGAGGCGTTTCTCACACCCGTTTCAACCCCACCAGGACGTGTTGTAGCGGTGCAGCTGACTTTGGCTGGGGTCACAATCAACGTTTGGTTGCAAAAGAAAAGAAAAGGTGATGTCTTCTTCCTATGCAATGACAACTAATGAGAGGGGTTGCTCTCAGCCCGGCTCTCGCCGCTGAAACGCTCCTGTTGGCTCTGCCTGCATTCTGAGCTCACCTGCGTTCAATTAACAACCTTCAGACCTACAACACTAAAAGTGATGAAAACTGACAATGCAATTTACTTTGCCTTAATGAGCTTGAGACAATGGTAGGAACAATCTGCCGCACCGCGTTACGCCGAAGGAAACGGTTTTTGCTGACGATGTTTACTATTCACAGCTTTGGGGGTCTCTCCAGTGGCCTGGAACATGTGCTGAAAGCCAAACCTTAACCTATTTTTCACTTTTTTTTTTTTAAACAGTATTTTAAACCGGAATCGTGTTTAAATAAACTGTCTCCACACCCATACAAGTGTTAAACACCTTCTCAAAATAGCAAAAATCGACAGGAGAAGAATATCTGTTTTCTGTACTGGTTGTGTTTTGTTTTAACGCCCAAGGCTGGGAATGTAGTCTTGTCTGATCTCATCACCGACTCGAAACCATAACAAAAGGACTGTAGGACTGAACTCCTGTCCCGCAAACTGTTTCATTCCTACCTTCAGAGCTTTCGTTGGGGTTGTTTCCTTTGTGTGAAGTTAAGGCTGATGTTTCTTCGAGTGGCTTCCGTGTACTTTTAGGTAACGTTTTGAAATGGTGAAGTCTGATCTTAGAGTAAGTTCAATTTCAGAAGTCTCGAGTACCTTAAAGCAACGTGAGCATGATAGAGAAGTGTCTGATGGACCGGCACCAGTGATAGAGCCTTCCCTACACCAGAGCCAGCTGTGGCTTCAGATCTGCTCATCAGCGCTGTCCGCTTTGGACCAAGAACAGCCAACGCTGGTAAGTCTGAGCAGAGCACTTCAGTTCCATAAAATAACCCTTTGTCTGTTTTTCAAAGGCCCAAACCCATCTCCCCACCCCCTGAGAAGTAAGGCAGCTCATTTTAGAATAGTAGTTCCAGCTTCACTGGCTGAAAGAACCAGTTCTTCAAACCTATTTTTGTACATTGAGAGATTTCAAAGTACGCTATTTATTCCTATCTTTGTCCTGAAAGTATAATAAGAATTAGTTCTCAACATGGATTTCACTGTGGAATAGAAATGAGTTGGATGTGTGAGGCAGAGGGGAGCCCCAAGCTGTGCCCTGTGGGGTGCAGGGAGGCTGGATGTGTGGCTGATTATGCATTTCCAGGACTGTTTTCCTTTTGATGGGAATACCAGAAGCAGGGTGGGATTTCCAGCCAGCTCCTCACCCTGCAGGCTCTGAGGTAAGCATGAACAGATGCCTTGCTTGGTGCTGAGCAGTAGGAGAGCAAGCAAGTAAGGCTCCATTTTAGCAAGCAAGGTATTGATCACAGGTTTCCTTCATCTTTTTCCTTCAAATGACGTCACGCTTTACTTTTTGTCAAGCCTTTTCAGTAGCGTGCACACCATGGTCCTTAAATCTTAGCACATTAAGCAACAGACTTCCAGTAATGATGGTTTAACACTAGGCTCTCACCATTACCCCACACTGGGTTTCACGCTGCTTCTGGCAGGCAGGCTTTGAGGGGAAGGGACCCAGAGCTGCTTGGTGCTGTATTTGGCATAGCAGCACTCCTCCCCACAACATGCCATCACCCAAAAGCCCTGCGTATGGGTTAGCTGTCTGTCTGTAGCATCATCACATCCAGGAAGGTTTGTTGGAGGTCACGGATGCACAGAGCTGTGGATTTGGAGCAGTCTGGAATGCCTGTGTGCAGGCAAATCTGGGCTGAAACCGATGTAACAGCGCCAGCAAAAGAGTCTGGGAACCCTGAGCACCCCCACCGCCCTCCATCTGTTGTAAGAACCCCTTGGAAATGCCTGGATGCTCTCAAACAAACGAGGAACGTGTTGGTACTGATGCAGAAAGCAAATCCTGCGTGTTTTCAAGTGCAGATTAACAGCTTCTCTTGGACATAACTTTCCATGAGGAATGAAGGAAACTCCTGCTCCCATTTGAGCCATTTCTTTTACTTCGGTCAATTCTAGTATTACAAATTGTGCATGTAACTTTATAAATATTTTAAATAGTTTTGTAAATATTTAATATTCAGCTAATTTGATTTTGAACTGTAAATGTCAAGTATTCTGGTATTGGGATTTTTATGTTTTATTATACTTTGTTAAAAAGTAAAAAATTGTACATTTTTAGAATGTTTTTATCTGAGTAAATTTAATGTATGGAAAATAAAGAGTTAAACAGAATCCCTCCTTTTTTTTTTTTTTTTTTTTTTTTTTTTGCTTTTTCAAGGACTTCCCCTCTCTGGGGGTGGTTTCCAGGGTCTGGTTGTATCCCTGTTATTAATTTGGCTGTCGTCCCCCCATGCAGGATGTGAATCACAACTATCAGAGCACAGCACATGTCCCACCATCAGCCCTTCCCTGCAGGCAGACACGGGAGGAGGCTGCCCACAAATAACCACAGGAGCCATCGTTCAGTTGGGATGAAATCCACCCCTACCAGCACTGTATTAATTTTAAAAAAGCAACATTTGTACAGGAATATCAGTCGATCACGTTGTAATTACAAGTCTGGTTTGTCAGTCATGAGTTAAACAATTCCTTACACAAACGGAACTAAACGGAGAACGAGCTGCTTCGAAAAGTTTACGCTGGAGTAAAAACACAAAGAACATTAAAAAATCATGAAGTAAGCATTGTGAACGAGATGCATGCAAAGAGGTGTAGGTAGGTACAAACTGTACACCTTACTGAGCCAAGACGCAGTAGTATTGCTTCTTCTCCCCCCATTATAGTAAGTTAGCTTCCAGTAACAGATGGAGTTAGTTCACAGACACGTAATATACAAGAGGAATCTCATCCTGCTACACTTCACTTGACGAGTCTAGAGGAAAAACACGGGGCTTAGCAGACAGCCTTCCCCTGCACAGGCTGCTCCCTGCTCAGGCCAGCAGTCACACCAAGGCTCCAGGTCCATGCAGGAGGCTTCAGCGATGGAAAAACACTTTGTTCATCACATCCCAACAGCAGCTCCTGGACGTGAGGAGCTGTTAGAAAGCGGTTCTGCCTGACCCCACCAGCAGTAACATGCAAAACAAGTGACACAATGGGGTCTTAATGCCAGCAGCATGTCTGAGCCCGATGGTCAGGATGGAGGCGCATTAACAAAGCTGTTCACCTGCTCATGTCACAGGGCTTACACACACCGGCTCGCTTTCCAACAGCCAACCCTGCTGGCAGCAATGCCCTTCACCTCCTCCCAGGGCTGCAGCTCGGAGGGAAGATCTTTTGGAAGCAAACCCCTATAAACAACAGTGTTTCACTGAATACGCAGGCATTGGAAATTCACGACAGACTGGAGTTTATTTCAGTGTTACCTGTCTAGGTGCTTACAGTTAATGCTTCCTAAAACTATAATAAAGCTGTGGTGTTTGGTATGAGTTATTTCAGAAAATGGCACTGTCCCTATGTCAGCAGTGCCAAAAGAAGAGATGAAGAGCTGCAGTTGCACTCCCCCAGCTCACCCCAAACGCTCACCTGAACGGCTGCAGCACCGACACAGATCTCAGCGAGCTGCAGAAGGCAAAGCTCTGCTTTGGAACATTAAAACACATTTGCTCTCAATTAGAAGCCCTCCCGTTAAAAAAAAAAAAAAAAAGAAAAAGAAAAGCTTTAAGGAATCATAGGGAAATTCTCCAGAAAACTGTCACATGAAACACTTTAGCTCCTCACTGGTGTCTGTTTGCTCGTTAAAGTCAATCGAGTGTCCCTTTATTTGCAATCGTCACATGCACAATTGGGTTCCATTCGTCAAGTCCAGACATGTAAATGTGCCTGTGTGGAATATTACAGCAGGTTTCAAAGCTGGAGGCGCTCGTCTGTACTGTTTAATAGTCACAAACAAGGCAAGGTAAGATAAAACACCTGCTAAAGCAAGACTATGCTAAGGTACTGAGAGCGTAGGTGACATCCGTTTCTTTCCCTGGGGTGCGTGTGGGGAAGAGTGGGGGTGATGGCCAAGGGTAAACCGAAATCCTAGGCTAGAAGCCACCTGCATGTCCTAGACAGAAGATTGCACTCCGAAAGTCTCCTGAGAAGCATACACCATGTACAGGAAGCCGTCCTCGTCCTTCTCGCTCTCGTACACCTCGGAGATGGGCGTGGAGACGCTCACCATGCTGTGTCCGTTCACCAGGAGGAAGAAGGCCTGGTTGGAGTTCAGCTGCAGGCGTCGCCTGTGAGAAGTCAGGAAGCAGGAAAGGAGGTTCACAGGGATGACAGTGCAAACAAAGGCTTTAGGATGGGGGATAAAACAAAGTCCTCCACCAGTGACAGCAGTGGGATGTCTCCACCTAAAGCAGCCCTGCCTTACAGAAGGCATTTGGTTCTCACCCTATAGCTGTCTGAAATTCATGATCTGCCAAGTGCTCTCAGACACATCCACTGGCAGAAAACCCCATCTCAAAGGAACAGCACAGGCTGCACTCCCAAAGAGCATTAAACTGAAGTGAACAGGAAGAGATGTTCCCTGCCAGGATGACATTGGGGCAGCAGATCATCCCACACAACCTGCAAACACTCAAGACCCATAGAACCTTTGGCTTGCTGCTGAGCTCCACAGCATTTCACTGGAAATATAAACCTGGGGAAGAAGGACTGGCACAGCTTCCACCTGAGGGCTCCGTTCCTATTAAACTCACTTTAACACCAGCACTGTCACAGCCCGTGTTGAACCTTTCCCTTTCATCTTTCTCCCATGAGAAGCACCGCAGGAAGACAGAGAGCAACAGAATTTCCAGACTGCGTAGCACAACAAATACCTCCCCTGGGTGTGTTCCCTGCATCACCTTTTTTTCTGAGCCAGGAAAATACATAGTGCTGCTAAACTCCCTCCTGAAAGCAGGTCTGCAAAGAAGGGCTAACTAACCAAGTGAGCATGAGGAACACAGATAAGAGGAGGTTCAAACGAGGAGAAAAGAACAACGGATTAGAAAGGCTTCCCTGCCACTTCTGCTCACTGCTGAGCTGGTAACAAGCATTTCCTCAGTCTCAGTCACAGCCTGGGAAGGGCCCTCCCACAATGAGCACTAACAGCTCCAGAGTGAGCCAGCAGAGAAGGCAGCAGATCTCTGAGGCTGGGCAGGGGCAGCCTGCACTGCACACTGGTTCTGCTGTGCACAAGAGGAGCTGGCTGAGGACCAAGTCCAGCCAGTATTAAGTTATCTACTAGCAAAGCCAAACAAAAGAGGTGGGGAAAATCCTGCATCTTGCTGTTAAACTTCTTGCTGAGGCCTTCATTAGAAATCCTAGATCACTTGGGGAATCAGGTTCTTACTTCCAGAAACCCTATCTCACTTTCTTAGTCATGCCAGAGCTGGGACTTGCTCAAGGCTTTTATCAAAGCCTCCAGGGCACGGAGTTGTTTGGACACATGGGACAAAACCCAGCTTTTACAGCTTGTGTCCTCCAAGAACCAGCTCTGTGTTACACTATGACTGCAGCAGAATTGCTGGGTCACAGCCTGAACCTTAGCTGAGCACCAGGTGAGGAAATGTGGCTAACTCAGGGAGCTCAGCTGCAAGGCATGCAACTGAGTGACCAGAAAGGGATCCACCCCTCTTCACCCTCATTTAAGGGCTAGCAGCCAAGGAAGCAGTATTTCTCTGTACAGAGACTGCATTCTTCTTGAGCTGCCATTGGTCATTGGAGGGGGTGAGTCAATTTTCCTTCTTTTTTTTTACCTGCTATTGTTCTGTACTGCCTGTATCCCGTTAGAGGGCACTGTCACAGCCTTCTGCTGCCATACAGTGACCAGTGAAAATGACAGTGACAATGAAAAACAAATTCTGGTTTGCTGCTAGCCTCCAAGTTTACTGCTTGAGAGCTCTTACTAATCAAATATTCCTGCTTGACACTGTGCCAAGAGAACTGTGCTTTGAGCAGGAGCTCTGACCGCAGTTTAAAGCCACACAATTCCCATTTCATGGTTATTTTCCCTTGGCTTTTTCTAATAAGCAAAGCTCAAGCACTAACAAGGAGCAACACTCAAACCACAGCCTGTGCAGATAGCTGTGTGAAGACAGCACTCATCTGAATGTATGTTTTTCAGGCCTCAGTGCTGTCAGTGAGGGTAACCTCATTTCATGATCAAAGGATGCCAGTGTCAACCCCAAGCAGCAGCTTGGAGCTCTGACTAGGAACCCCAGCTCCCCCTCCAGCAATGGGAGGAGGCAGGCACTCCAGAGAGGGACTCCCAGGCAGAACACTGAGAAGGCATCCCAAAATAACCAGGCAGGAAGCACTGGGGCCCTGGGCCAGAAGCACCCATGTCAGATAGGGATTCTCAGCCTGACTCCCTTCTTCGTATCTGCTTCTCTCAAAAGCAAATTGAGAGCTCAACCCTTCTCAAAGGTCTTTCCCAGCAGAGCCAAAGGAAATGTGCCTTCTTGTGAATCCATCCTAGTGATGACAGAAGTATTTGTTAGATGCCTTTTCCATTTACAGGGTTCTCAAAGCTATACGCTGGGTGGGCTGTACTCTGTTGACGCAGTGCACTGTGTGGAATCACAGCATACTACCTGATAATTTTGATTAGCTCGCTCATGTTGACGTGATCTGGCACCAGGAACTTGGTCTTATCCAAAACAGGAAGCTGCTTCTCCCCCTTGTACCTTTCAATGATCACCTAAAGAGAAACAAAAGAAAGCAGCAGAAGATGTGAAAGGCAGAAACAGTGCCTAGAGCCCTCATCCCCCTCCATTTTGAACACAGCAAGGTAGGAGGATTCAGCCTAAACTCCATTTCACTTCATTTGTAGGTGGAAGTCTGGTTTGTAAATGTCACATCTGCATTACAGTCACTCTCACCTGCCTCTTCTGTTTACAAGAGTCCCTGTAAGATGGGGGAACAAACACATTCAGCAGCACACACAAAACTGCAATTTCAGTGCAGTTTTAAAATGGTTTACTCACTGGGCTCCTTTAACCTAGCTCTGAACTACCCAGCAACAAGGAAGCCAGGGAAAGGTACAGCAGGCTTCTCTCTAACACACTGCATTGGCTGCTATGGAAGTCTGCAGCCTCACACAGCTCTCACCACAATTTCTCCAGCTTCTCCTGACTAACAGGCTGTCTCTAAGAACTACAGCTCTGGATTAGCATGCCAGTCTGCTCTCCTGCTGTGGTTTCTCTCATGCATAAGAAAAAGTGACTTTTGAAGG